TCACAGTTGGCCCTGACCTGAAATTCATTAGGATCATGCCCTGTTCAAGCCCACCATGTTTATAATGGCACATTTCCACCTATTTTGACATCCATAAAAAGCACAATTTTACCAAAACCAAAGAAGTAATTGATTAGTCTATAGTTTAGAAACGAAATTCCAAAATTTTGACTTTTATTATCTTTTCTCACTTAGAGCTTTCACACTTTGAATTTTACCCAGCCCTACCAAAACTTCACTCACTGGTTTGTGCTGTTTGTACTCTCTGTGTAGACTCTAGAACTCATTTCTGGCCAGGATTGTTTCCTTCCCTGTGGAGATACTGCTTCTGCAGTGTCGGGCTTACTGTTAGGAAGAAGGGACCCTCCACTGACTTTCTGCCTTTTTTCCTCATCTTCCTTACTCTGCTTCTTCTTGTATGTTCATTTATTTTAAATGTTTCATCAACTTAACTTCCCAAATCCTTAAACCTTTGAGAAATACTAAGGAGTGCTGAAAAGATGTTTTGAAAAGAGATGACCAGTCCTCATTTCGTCTAACATGCAAACATCCAGTGTTTATCTGAGTCACAGTGGCTGCCCTCTATCCCCTCATGCCACTCCCTTGACCCTGCCTGACCCTTCCCAGCTGGTATTTGATAGCTCTACTTGTGGGCATGACTGCTTGATTGAGTCCAAAAGAAACATCTCTGGCTCTTCGCTGCACCCTCCTGGCACCCATAGCAGGTACTTGCTCAGTTGACTCAAAGAATAAAAGGTGTTGTGAAGAGTAAGGTCTATTCTTTGCTCACTTGCTTTCCCCATTCCCCTCACAGCAGACATAGATAGAAAGAAATGTGGCCCTGGTCTGAGAAGGTAGCTCGGAAGCCAGAATCAGTTATGCCCTCCCCATTGCCACTGCTCAGAGCACATGTGGAATGCCTCCTGGATTTGGCCTGCAGTTTATGGCCTAATGACTCAGACATCGTTAAAGATAGTGACTCTGTGTCCTTGAAGTCTGTTTGTTGTTATTGTTTTGTTTGTTTTCCAAACAAGCCGAAGTAACTTAGAAATAAGTAAGGTGAACGAAAGAGAACATAAGACCCTGTTTCAGAATCAGGGGAAATAGCATCAAATCATGAACCTGGCTTTCCCATGTGACCCTCACCCCTACTAGGAGGCAGCTGTAGAAGCAGTCTTTCAAATGCCTGAGCACTGCCCCTGGGGTCAGCTCAAAGGACTGACCCGAAGGAAGCTCTCATTTTAGAGATGAGTGTCACAACTTTACTGTGCACACCTTGTCTCTCTACACTGGCTGACCCGTGTTTACCCTGCAGGAGAAGTACTGAATGGAATTATTCTGACACATGAGGGGAGTGGAAAAAATAAAGGGATATAAAAAGGATGCGTTCTGGAATTAAGCCACATGGATTCATATCTTACCTTCAACCCTTGCTAGAATTGGGGTTCTGAGTATGTCACTTTGCATCTGGAAGCCTCCACTTGTTCTACCTTAAAACCAGAGAAATGATATTATCTCACCACCCACCCAGGCAAGGTTTAATATGCTGTCCTAGAGAGCAGGGTACCTAGCACATAGTCAGCACTGTTTTAATGATGCCTGAGATTTGCTTTAGTCAGGTAGGTAAAGACACAAAATTGACTGTCTGGGAAGAAGTGTGTTGTTTTGACAGGCTCCGGGAATCAGAAGGCCCAGCTGGAAGCATACTGGGTCACCAGCTGGAAGCAGCAGGTTGTGCCAGGAAGAAAAGGGAGTGAGGGGGGAATGTGGGCATGAGCCTTTAATGTGATTTCTTCTGAAAGGAACAGGTGAGACAGAGTAAACAGGCTTAGGATGGACTCATTGACGTGATGTCACAGGCTGGGGGCCTAACGGCTCTCTGTCATTGTCTGGTATCTGGTCCTGGAGTGATTTGGGCAGGAGGACAGTGGCTCAGAGTGTGAGAGCCTGTGAAGTAGTTGGTGGGTGTGGGTTTAGATAGTTTGGTTTACATATGAAAGCATATTCTCTAGCAAATTGTTTGCTATGTGCAAAAATTAGCTGGTTCTGGGAAGCCCAATCAAATGTGGAGACTAAAGAAATATGATCAATAGAAGCCTTCGTTAAGGTTGATCGCTCCTAATCATCATCCCTAATAAAGTTCCCTTATACTGGGAAGTTACATGTAACTTCTGTGTTTACATTCTGAAAGTATATCAATGTTAGTTCAATTTAATGTCAGCCTAATATTTAAGAGCAGAAGCAGAATTGTTTTTGTTGAACCAGCCAGCATTATTGGAGAACCATGTCTAGTTCTGGATTTTGTGTTCTGTAAAGAAATGGAAAAATTGGAGAGAATCCTGAAAAGAAATGGTAATGGTGTCAAAAAATCCCTAAGAAAAGTGACAGATGCAGTGATTTGATCTATCATTCTGAGATTGGCAAAGAGTATGCCCACCCTCCACTACTGATTCATATAAAGAAAAGGCCAGATTGCTCCGACATTCTCCGTATTCAGTGATCATAGAACAAAATGGAACAAACTCATTGAGAAGTAAAGTAAAATTTAAATTTGGCTTCAACTAAAGAAGACAGATCCTGATCCTAGGTCTGCAGACACCTACAGTGACAGCTAACAGGGAGAGTGAATGGTGGTGAGTCTCAAGAAAGAAAGACCTTTGCTTTAACAGAGAACACACACACACACACAACAAACCAAAAAGAAAATTTAGCTTTAGATAGTCTATGAAAAGATCACAGAAGGGCCAGACTTGATACAGGGGCCCTCCCTGCCCATGTTTAGTTGAGTAAGCAGCATGGCAGAGAGAGCTGGGGTGAGAAGTGTGTGGCCAGCCCGCTCCCTTCTTAGGTTGATTCCAAAGGCGAAGAAACAGGCTCTAAGTTCACATACTTCCCCTCCATTGGACTTCACACATCTCACAGGATCACAAAAGAAAGCAGTTATAGTTGATCTTTCCAGACCTTCCCATCTACATATTGCATATAATAGAAAGTAATTAAGAAAGTAAAGATAAGCAAAACAAAAATTATCATCACCTATGGTCCTAACCACCAGTGTCAATGATTCCTTTCATCTGAGGACATAATTTTCCATAGCTGCTTCTATATTAAACATAGGATTTTCCAAAACAAAACCCAAAAGGATTATGTTATGTGGAGAGCAGTATTTTTTCTTTTTATGTCAAAAATTGTTTTACAGAAATACCATTTTTAATGAATAAAAAATATTCCATGATACAGATACAGGTATCCAAGATGACTTCCAATTCACTAATGTTGAACAATGAGACATTTTCTAAATCTCTCATATTACAGATAGTGCTTTGATGAACAGCCTTAGGTAATTTTTGTACAATTCTGAATATTCCTTTAAGATATAATCCCCCAAGGGGAATTACTGGTTCAATGGATAGGTATGTTTTTAAGGATTATGATACAACTGCCAGACTGGCTGCCAGAAAAGTTCTTTGGTGGGAGAGTATCCTTATTAGTTTGTCCACCATTCTGTCAGATCTTCAGGATTTTACATCTCCCCTCTTCACTAGTGTCCTCTTTTTTGGGGGTCATCTATTTTGTCATCAAAGATTTGAAGACAATAATACTTTCTTGTACCATTATGCCTTCACTTCATAGAAATGACTCTGGTTACCTTCTTTTCTCTTCTGAATTTATCCCTAGAGGTAGGGCAATAATAAGAAGGTAACAAAAAAGTTCCCAGTGTTTGGAAATTTAAAAATATGTTTCTAAATAACATTTGGAATCAATCAAAGGGGGTGGGGGGGGAATCTATTAAAAGTTAGAGTATATTTTTAACTGAGGAATGATGAAAATAGCAAAACTTGTGGGTTGATGGTAACACATAACTAAAAGGAAAACGTACAGCTTTAAGAAAAGAACAAACTCTGAAAATGAATGAGCTAGTAAGAATCCAGCTCGAGAAGTTAACAAAAAGTTAGTAGCTTACTGAGTGGCCTCCCTGTTGGCACAAGGGGTTAAGTTACAGCACTATGAAGCTATCGCAGCCACAGCAGCACAAGTTCAGTCCCCAGGCAGGGAGCTGACCCACAAGGCGCAGCAGACCTCTCCTGCCTCACCCGCTGCTCCTCTCAGCAGTGTGTTTCAGTAGTTCTGACTGTTCTGCTCCCTACTCTGTCTCTGGTGAATCCTTTCACCTCTGTGCCTCTGGCCTGCACTCCAGCTCTTGTATGCACAAATAAATAAAGCTTTAAATAAATAGCTCACTGAACAAGTGAGAATAAATGACAGAATGAAACCCCACCCTTGAACGTGGCAGCTTGGCTTGCTCCTTCGGCACCCCTCTCACTCCCAGAACAGCGCCTGACAAATAACTGTGATTTGATGAACCTCAAATGGGATTTGTTGAATCTTAAAGGCCTGATTGTGAACACGCTATTTCAAAATGGTTGAAGTTTAAGAGTAGTCCTAATGTGATTGGTCTGCCAGCATAATCCATCCAAGTGTCATTTAACTTCAGTAGATGCTGATGTGGGGAGTGTGAGAGGACTAAAGGGCAGTGGATTTAAGCTGAGTTGTGTAGATTACCACTGTGTGCCAGGTTGCAGCTGCCCTGAGCATCTGTGAGAAGCCTGCATCTTCCTTATCTCTAAACATCCCAGAGAAGGGCTTTGTGTTTATTTTACAAAAACATTTTGGAGATAAGTGTTAATGATAAGTCAGTGCTGTTCCATCAAGCACATTGCTTTTGATCATCACAAGTCTAGAGCCACCTTTTACACAGAAAACCCTCAGCCTGCGTTAAGTTTTGCATGTGTAAGGGACAAAGGTTAGGCTCCTGGGATCAGTTTGACTCAAGGAAAAAGAAGTAACTTTAATTTCATTAATGGTCTCCTGGATAATTCTGCTACAAGTTTAATTCTCTATTAATTATTAATGCTGCTCAATGCTTAGTATACTGCCTTTTAGGAGCATACAGCTCAAACTGACACTAACCTATTTTCTGTTTTATAATGGAATCACAGGGCTTTTTCAGGAGAAGTCAGCAAAGCAATGCCACCTACTCCTGTCCTCGTCAGAAGAACTGTTTGATTGATCGAACCAGTAGAAACCGCTGCCAACACTGTCGATTACAGAAATGTCTCGCCGTGGGGATGTCTCGAGATGGTGAGGACAACAGCTTGAGCTGTATAGTAGTGTGGGGTCGTGAAAGTGCGTTCTGAAACATGGACCTAGATCTGCCAAAATGTGTCCCCCACTGCTCTCCTTATCCCCCTGCACCCCCTCCTACCCCCCCCCCCCGACACACAGACTTGATGGCTTATGGATTTCACAGCCATTACCCTCCCTATAATCCATCAGAATCAACCAACAGGCTGTTGGGGGTTTTCAGCATTTATGACATTGCAGGATTGAATTTGATTGAATTAAGTGTCATCTGAGGACCTTAATAAAACTACCTCCTATAGGCATTCCCCTAGCTAGAAACGCAAACCAGAGGGAATTGTTTTGTGCTTTAACCTAGTAAGCATATTGGCAGTTGAAGTGAATTAGCGTTTATGCTAAACTGAGTACAATGAATCACTTGCCAAAATCAAATATTTATACATATAGAACATATGAAAATAGTGCAAAGTATGGCTCAACGATAAATGTTCTTTTCATTAAAAGAAGTTATTTTAAGAGACTATCAGCCATTCAGTTGCAGAACATTTCCAGTTATTCCTGGAAAACTATCTTGACTGAACTAAATAATCAATACCAGATTTCAAGAAAGTTATTCTTATGCATAAAAATTGTACAAAAATATAGTGAGTACATTTTGAGGACTTCTCTGAATATACTAGCTTGTTGGCTCTATCAGAAGATCCCCTTGAAGGAAACATTCATCTCTTCAGTGGAGCTTCTTCAGCCCGTGGAAAAATACTTCTGAATGCCAGGCAGGAATTTGGAGCCCTAGCCCCAATCAGGCCAAATTACATGCTTCAGTACTGGTGCCTGAGGTGGGGTCTTAGAATATGTGGGAACAAAAGTGAAGTTTTGGGTATCAGTAGATGCAAGTCCTAGAACTTATGCCATATTCCCAGCAATTCCTGGAGATGTGCAACTCTTCAGACTTCAGCTTTCAGTCATGCTACACTGATAACGTCAGGTATATCACTTTTGAACCTGTAAGTTAAAATTACAGGTGGCTTGGGCCTTTCTCAAGATTGGACACTCTCAGATTTTACTTATGAGATGATATGATTACCGTTGTTAATATTTATGCAAATGTTAAAACATATTTCAAACACCAAAGTGGCTTTACCTGTGAGTATCAATCTCCTTGAGTATCTTAGAATTCTTTTTTGAAGATTGAAAGCACCTCAATTTGCCTTCTTGAGAATTTGCATGTAAGTGGCAACATGTGTTGTGACTTTGGAGAATGGGAAGAGGGAGGCAAGATACAATTAGATGCCTGAAATTTAAGGGCCACATCCGCCTGATTGCCATCTAGCCAGCCCCACCCAAGTTTGTCACCTGAGTCGTGGAAACTGGAAATTGACCAGTATCTAGCTCACTTGTTTGCTCTGTGCAGAACAGTACGTACTCTTTGGAAGGAAAAGAACCTATCAGCCAGCCTCAGGGGATGGCCTGGTTCCATGCTTCACTTCTATCTCATCTGCCTCTGCACAACCAGAGCTCTGCTGGTGGCCAAGGGGTGAATTCAGCCATCCTATCAAGTGTAATTTTGACCACACTGAATTAGGGGATCTTAGTCCCTCCAGCAGAGACTCTGTCCTGCATGTGCATAGTGACGCTGAGAATAAATGTCTGGTGGGAGAACTCAGAGCAGGAAATCATCAAGGTTTTTCCCCCTCAATTATCTGAGCATCTCAGAAGAAGTCATTTGGGATTCTGAGTGAACTGGAAAGTCACTGCAATCATTGCTCCACATTTGAATATGGGGACACATAGTAGAGAGGACAAAAGCAATATACACACAAATTCACCTCACAGGGACGTGACATACGTTTGCCCTTTCTGTTTGTTCATCCTTTCCAAAATTGTGATACTGTTTTTACTTGAGGCTAAATGAGAACAGCAGAAAGTTTAAAGATGGGTCACAGGAACCACCATCACCCATGAGTAGCAAGAAGGCTCCTCGATCCAGGCAGGTTCAGAAGTGTGATTTAGTGAACGGCGAAGCCCTTGTCCAGTCTGTTTAGGCCTCTTAACCAAGCCCCAGATTTGGCAGTTTAATCAGAAAGAAACTCCTTTGCGTGTACAGAGCAGTGAAGTGAAAGAAAGCTCAGCTTTGACTGCTTGTACCTTTACATACCCCTCTCTGGCAGTCTGTGCATCCTTGCAGTTGTTCTGAACCCAGGGGCAAGAGAAGGGGGATTCGGGCCAACTGCATGCATAGAAAGTAAACAGTCCCATTTAGTGACCTCTCAGTGGTACCCACTGAGCCTAGGGGTATATGACAGTGGGAAATGTGGATGATCATTGCTCTCTTCTACCCATTCTGTGTCTGGAAAAGTTCCTCTAGGGTTTTGCTGGGGGTGCAGAGCAAACCCTTGCCAGGTGGGAGTCTCCTCACCTCTGAACCATGCCCTTATTTTGAGATTTATCACTGCAACTGTCTGAAATTTTAAAGGCACCCCTAATTTTTGTTTTTCTTCCAGCTGTAAAATTTGGCCGAATGTCAAAAAAGCAGAGAGACAGCTTGTATGCAGAAGTGCAGAAACACCGGATGCAGCAGCAGCAGCGAGACCACCAGCAGCAGCCAGGGGAGGCCGAGCCGCTGACGCCCACCTACAACATCTCGGCCAATGGGCTGAGCGAACTTCACGATGACCTCAGCAACTACATTGATGGGCACACCCCCGAGGGCAGCAAGGCAGACTCTGCCGTCAGCAGCTTCTACCTGGACATACAGCCTTCCCCGGACCAGTCAGGTCTTGATATCAATGGCATCAAACCAGAACCAATATGTGACTACACACCAGCAGCAGGCTTCTTTCCCTACTGTTCCTTCACCAATGGAGAGACTTCTCCAACTGTGTCCATGGCAGAATTAGGTAATGACTTAAATATTTCAGCTGGGCTGAACCAGGCAGGGCTTTGGGAAGTTAGTTAGGTATGTCTGATGTTCCTCTGCTGAATTGTGTTATTAAAGGCTTCAAGCAGAAAAGCAGTTCCCCTTTATCACTTGACCCCCCCTTCATAATTCCACCCTGCCTCCTTACCTTTGACTCTCCAAGGTACTCTCTGCTCATCCTCTCATGTCAGCGATGACACAATAGGAGCTTAACACAGTCTGTCAATTCCACAGAAAACCAAGTTCAGGGAATGGCCCCATTAACTTCACTAGTTATTTAGCTATAATCTAGGTATTACTTTATACCTAACGTCACAAAAAGGTCAGCCTAGAAGCCACCCAGGTCAGAGACTTGTTTGAGCCTATGAAGAGTCTTAAAATTTTTGAATTAGTTGCTAAAATTTTAAACCAGGAAATTGTAACTAAAGGTCATATTTTCAGCATTTTGTTGGGAGTGAGGTCTAGTTACACTGGACCAGCGTTTCTGAGTGACAATAACTGGCTGGCATGACATGGGTGCTAACACCTTAAAGGGGCTCACCCCACTTCTCCTATTTGTATCTCTGTCCACACCTGTAGGTATTTATGTTTTGCAGCCCTGGTATATTCTATAAATGGTAAATGGAGATTGACTCCTTTATATGTCAAAATGTTTTGGTAATGGGTATTGGGGACAAAACTGATTTAGCTCATAGAAATCTCACTATGCAAGGACAAAAAAGTGTCACCTGTCATTTTTTTATCACTGTTGTTGCTGCTTAGGACATGTGACCTAGAAATGTTGACAACACCAACAATAGAAAACTTTGGTTTTAAGGAATTTGTGTTATTACCCTCTGTAATGGTTGATTTTTCATTACTTCTTATTAGAGAGTGTTTGATAAGACCCTTGGCAGTTTTAGAATTTGATCTGCCCCTCCCAGTGATTCCTCACCCAAGGTTATAATCCCTTGGGATATTTCAGTTAGTTGCCGTGGAGATGGCTAAGTTGATACGAGGAGAGAATGAAGACTTCACATGGAAAAGAAACAGCAGGTTCTGACTTGAGGACAGAAGTCCTCAGTTCATAGAAATCACGGTTGTGTTCTTTAGATGGTTTCTCCACCTCTGTACCCCATAAAACATTTTAAGTGAAATTTATATTTCCAGTAAAATCTTTCTCCAAATAGAACAAATTGAATGTGCTTTTTACACACGGTTTTTACACAAGCCCCTCTTTATGGGTCTATATTTAAATCCTCAAGAGCAAGGACATTTTAAGCTTGGTCTTTAACCACTGAACAGCATTAAAGGTGTATTGCAGCTCTTTTGATTAACAGAGAATCCTCTGAACTAGAAGCCAAGCTGAGCAGGGGTAGGTTTGATTTTTTTTCTTGAACTAGAACAAAAACCTTCCATTTTTGTCATAAATCTTGGTTGGCTGAGCCTTAAGCAGAACTATAATGAAAATCAAATTTTCAGAAGTGAATAAGGATTTGATTGAAAGCTGACATGGTATCATGAAAAATGGCCTGATTTACTTTAGGCTTGCTTCCACCTTATCATAAATACTAGTGAGTCTATCCTGTTTGCTTGTCAAATGTTCAACTCTGAAATAAACCTACAAGGTTTAGCCGAGATGTTGCCCTTGACTACGGCACTTCAGCTAGGTGGGTGCTGATAGCTGAGGGGGGCAGAATCAGCTCAGTTGAGTGCCCCCATCCTCCGTTTCCCCACTTCCATTTCCTCTTCTCTCATTTCGCTTTCCAGGGTAGTCTAGGAGCCCTGTGTCCTCATACGTTTTTTATGTTCTCCTAAGTTAGGGATTTTTCATGTGTATTGATTGTGGCATTTTCCAGCTTGAATAAAATCAACTTATCTGTAGGATTAGTTCCAAACCCAACATTAAACAAGAATTTCTCTGTAAAGGATATAAAATTGGGCTCAATTTTTCTATCCCAGTTACATGCACAGAACAGCTTAAGGAGCTCCAAGTTGCAAGACAGCGGCCACAGACTTCTCGGCTCCTTCGTCAAAGCTCTGTGCAGGCCCCCAGTATTACCTTTGGGAATTCAAGTCATGCCATCTCTTTAACCAGGAGTGCTGACTTCATTTCAGGCTAGATTTTTCATCAGATTTCAAACAAATGAAACCAAGGTTACAATTGGAAAGCAAATTGTATGTTAACATACTTTAAGTCCAGTTCTATTTTCAAGAACAGTGTCTGTATATGTCTGCATCCCTAGCTAGGAAATTTTGCCCTCAATATCCAGGTAGGACCTGGACTATACATTTCATACAAACAGTCTAGGTTCATATGAAATCAAAAAGGCTAACTACACTTGTTACCACCCTCATTAACTAAAGCCTATGGGAAATTTCACTGGTAGAGTGGGCAAAAACAAGAAGTCAGATTTTTTAGGTTGTGGTCTTAGCTTTTCTGTAAGTTTTAGCAGCCAGTGTAAATCCTATTGCATGTGCAAGCTGAAGTTGCTCTACCTCTAGAATATAAAGATTTTGAACAGACTGGAGCCAAACTGTGTATGTTTGAATCACTGACTGTTTGCAACTGTGACATTCTTGGAAAAGTTACTCATTCTCACTGTCACTCAGTTTCCTCATCTGTAAAATGGAGATAAGCTAGTTCCTTCTTCCTTGGTTTGTTTTGGAGATCAAGTAAGAAAATACATATGTGTGGAATATGTATGTATAAATTCTATGGTCTGGCACATGGTGTTAACTATCATCATCTGTCTCATGTTATCTGTAAACTGAGGAGATTTGGGCCAGAGCGTGTCCAAAGTTCCTTCCCACTATGAAAATCTGTAACTAACTTAAAAGGCTAGACTTTATAACAAAAGCCTCTAGACCTTGGCTGTATTGACGAGGCAGTCATGGTTAAGGGGGCAAACTGAGTTGATCATACCACGAAAGTTATCCATGTAGCCTGTTCTCCTAGTTCTTGATCCCCAGATATTTCACTATAACAGAAACTTTCTCCAGAAGACTACACAAACTTCTTAACTTTTACTCAGCCTGACCATATTCTTCTCTGATGAAATAGAGATTTAAAAAGAGCAAAGTGTGTAAAATCACACTTAACCAAATAAACTGAAATGGAATCAAAAGGGGTTGATGAGAATGCAGCCACTGCCCTCTACTGGCCTATAAGGTACATTGCGCCACTTGTTTCCTCTTGTAAAGACTGCTCCCAAATAGCAAAGAGTGGGAACAAATTTTAAGATGACGTGAACCAAGACACTGACCATATTAACACATTAAGAAGCATAATCTAGAAGACGAAATCTGTAACTGTCATCCTTCACCTCAGAGGATCCTGCTTTTCCCTGTAAGCGTTCTTCATCACTTTTTTCAATCTACAGAAATTGTTTTACTATTCAAACATTTATTTTCTTGTTTCGGATTCCCCATTTTTCTTTTATTCATTCTCCTCCTCTCTGCACAAGGTTCATTGACTTTAAGACACATCATTTACTTTGCCCTTTTTCAGTTCTTTCTGTGTAGATACCAATTTTTTTTTCCTTCTCTTTGTTCTTTATGACATTTATGTTATTTGCAGGTCTTTTTTTGTTTTTTTTTTTTTTTTTTCCTTCTCTTTGTTCTTTATGACATTTATGTTATTTGCAGGTCTTTGTGTTGATAAGTAAGGCCGTTGAAGTATGTTGAACTTCAGTGTCTAAGAAGATTCATTTCAAACTTTACTAGGTGAACCTGCTCTAGTTCACATTAACAAATCTGATTCTGTTTGATGGAAGCAATTACATATTGCCAAATAAACACTCTCATCAGTGTTGCCAGTGTGCGTGTAGAATCATTCTTTTAAATGACTTTCCTGTTATATATTCAAGACCTGGGAGGAGGTACATTTGGTATGATTTCATACTCACGAAGTCTTGTTAATTCTTTAAAAAAAAAAAAACAAAACTTCTTTAATTGTCCTGCCTTACTGTAGCAGTTACTAAAACTTGCTTCAAGCCCATAGTCCTGCACATCCAGACTCTACCAGTCTTCCATTTGGTCTTCCTACCTCCAGCCTCTAAAGCATCCAGTCATCCATTTCAGAACTGCTTGTCTAGTTCTCCAGATACAAGGTTCTTCCATCAGCTCCCTATTGAGAATCCTGCTGACTCCTGTTACATCAAGTCCAAACTCTTGATATTAACGTTTGAAGTCTTTCACACTGTAGATTCTTGCCTATTATGAATTTGTGTCTTAACATGATCACCTCATTACATCTGCCTGTCTCCTACAGACATACAGAAGTGCCATATTTGTCCCTTCATTTCCCATGCCTCTCATGTAGAACTGGCCCATTTCTTCCCACTCCTGGGCTCTTCAGGCTCCTAATCATCCTCAGAATCCAACTCAAATGCTCCTCTTCTGCCAAGAAGCATCTCCTAATTCCCTAAGCCAATATTCATCTCTCCCCCCTGATATTTTGAATTGTCTGTTCAGTGTGTCCATACATGTTCAAAAAACTATAAAACTTCCTATCTAACCTTTGTTGGAACCTATTTTCCATAGTATTTTCAACCCCCCTGCACTACAGTATGATATGAATTCATCCTAAGTGTTCAACTCTTTTTGGTTCACACAGAAATAGGTGTTATTTTTGTCATTTTACAGATGAGAAAATGGAAAAACAGAGAAGTTAAGTAACTTACTTAAAATCACAATTAGTAGATAGCAGAGCTGAGAGTCAAGCCAAGGCCATCTGACTCCAGGGTTCACTTCTTTTTTTTTTTTTAAGATTTATTTATTTGTGCATACAGAACTGGGGTACAGGCCAGAGGCTCAGGGGTGGTGAGAGGCTTCACCAGAAACAGAGTGGGGAACAGAACAGGCAGATGGACGAAGTACACTGCTGAGGGGAGCAGCAGGTGGGCCAGGAGAGGTCTGCCACACCATGTGGATCTCCTCCGAGGCAGGGGGGGATTGAACTCATGCGGAAATAGCTTTAGATTCTTAGTGCTGTGCTTTAACCTGCTGCACCACCAGGGAGAGCCCAGAGTTCACTTCTTAACCACTATACTAATTACAGTGATATAGTCAACCCCAGGTCTTAGTCATGTTGGTTTTGTTATTTTCAGGAATATTCAAAGAGATACATAGATGCAATCATAAAAGAGTATCATTTTCTAATTGTTCAAGAGTAATCCTCCCTAGATCAATGTATGTGGTAGATATATTTTCATAAAACTCCCAAGAGGACTCATTGTCAGTTATTTCCCACAGCCATCTAGGTCAATATTTGTTCGTCCCTGAACACTGGTGTAAAAGCACAGAACAAAGTCAAGATCAGGAGAGTCCTTTGAAATCATCAAACCTGATTGCAAATGTTAACTTCCCTTATTCTTCATCCTCTTGTTCCAAAATACAAAATAGACCCAACTTGCTTATTTAAATGTGTAAAGGTAATTAAGTTCAGTGTGTTGCTTTCAACTGGTGACTTTGTAAGGCAAGTGCTAAATAAGGAAAACACTGGTCATGCAAAGAAGAACTTGGCTTTTTATGCTTGTGATCTATTTTCTCCATAGAACACCTTGCACAGAATATATCTAAGTCTCATCTGGAAACTTGCCAATACTTGAGAGAAGAGCTCCAGCAGATAACGTGGCAGACCTTTCTGCAGGAGGAGATTGAGAACTATCAAAACAAGGTACACTCTGAGAAATTTTACTGAGGATTTAGGCAATTTGGGGAAAGTTGTTGCTCAACCTCGATCAAGAGTACAGATTTGATCCAGAGTACAGACAAAACAAAGAACAATGGGTTTTCATCAGATATCACATTTCTGTTTAAAAAATAACTTTTTTTCTTCCAGAACATTGTCATCTTAATGAGATGCCAGCAGGCAAAATGTCAGCAGTAGCAAATAAATTTCCTTGTTGCCTTTAACTACACACATATCTCCTTCTACTTCTCAACAGGGAGCTAGATTAAGCAACTTCCAGAAACCTAGATAAATTGGGATTTGTCCAGAGACCACAATGGAAGATTTCAGAGTACAGAAACTGGCATAAAATAATCTCAGCCCCTTGTTTCCAAGAGGCTGTACCTCCAGTCTGATATGAGACTAGCAAATAGTGGTGCCACTTGCCTTTCTCCATGTAACACTGATCGACAAACCATCCTCCTGGAAATTGAAAACACCAGGATTAGAGATGACTCTTGACTCCTAATTCAGTGTGCTCTCCAGTCCATCGTATCAGTGAAAACAGTCTTAAACAAAGACTGGGGGAACAAGTGAGCAGCACAACAGATGTAGGTCACCCTCTAGCTAAACTGGAGAGTGGCTCTAGAAAAGGAATTAGACAAAACAGGTTGGTAATGGCAACACATCTCTCCACCTTTGAGATAGCAGGTAATATCAGCAGCCCAAGTTACAAAAGAGAAGCAAGAAAGCAGTAAGAATCAGCAAGGTTTGTGGCATGGGATTCAGAGTCAGAAACGCTTGGATTTGAATCCCGCTCCAGTGCTCACTAGCTGTGTGGCCTCTGTGCACATTAGGGTCCATTTATGGAAAATGAGGAAAAAAAATGTTCTTGTGAAAATGAAGTAAGACACGGATGTCATAAAACACCTAGCTCACAGCAGGTCTGCAATAAATGTAATTGACCCCCCTGTTCTCCCCTTCCCCCATAAAGTGGTGTTAGATTCCCCAAGGCAAAATAAGAGCAAAGAAGAGTCTACTTTGCTCTTCTCTGTGTCGTGCAGGGCTTTCTACTCGTTTTCATCTTGCGCTGCATATATGTTCATCCCACCTTCCCCTGTCCCTTTGCCACCATAAAGGTAAGAGAGGACTGCAGATAGGACCAGAAAGCATTCATTACAACTCAGATAACTGGCTGGCTGTTTATATTTTTCTTAATCATCTAATTGTCTAGCCTTTCTGAATCCTTCTCCAAGCAGGGCTTTTGCAAAAGGGGGACAGATTAGCCGCTGGTGGTACTGAGGATATGAGTAACCGTGTGTGTTAATGTGTTTCCCCCTCTAACAGCAGCGGGAGGTGATGTGGCAATTGTGTGCCATCAAAATTACAGAAGCTATACAGTACGTGGTGGAGTTTGCCAAACGCATTGATGGATTTATGGAACTGTGTCAAAACGATCAAATTGTGCTTCTCAAAGCAGGTATGTGCTTTGCAAGTGAATTCTGAGATTTCTTCCTAACCTGCTTTCACCTGCTTATTAAAGAACTGCTTGGTAAGGAAGGTGTCGGGAACAGTTTTTCTCCAATGATAATAGCTCTAGTTTCCCTTAGCAAAAACCAAGGTCTTTTTAAAGATTTCTGAACTAGTTACAGGAATCATTCCCTCCATTTTGCTTCTCCTCTGAGTGAAAAGATTAATTTGAAGGTCACATGTTATCCCCAATTTCCCCATCATCCGTGTTTTGTTTCTACACTCCAGATCCTTTGAAGCTTACATTCAGTTGTTAGGTTAAAGGTTGTTGTTGGAATCCAGAGAGAAAGAGAGAGATCCTTGGTTCTTTTGTTTGTTTTAACAAATATGAATAAATGTTTTCCTAGCAACTCTGAGAAAATATATGTGGGTCAGAAGCATGCCAGAGAAACGATTTGTAGATCACTCCCTTCTTTAGTAAAACGGCCCTTAACTTCAGCACAGTTTTAATTACACTGGTGAACTTTGCCCTTTGGAATGAAAAGCTGGCATGATTGACAGCCCAAAAGCAAAACTGAAAAGAGTACCCACTGAGCTGATGCAGAAACGGGTCTCTGCATTAGTGCCTTCCAAATAAAGTCACCAAGATGCAATAATCCAAACCATTTCTGCCTCTGTGTAGGTTCTCTGGAGGTGGTATTTATCAGAATGTGCCGTGCCTTTGACTCCCAGAGCAACACCGTGTACTTTGATGGGAAATATGCGAGCCCCGATGTCTTCAAATCCTTAGGTAAGAAGCCTGCTGGGAGCTTTGTCTTTAAATCCGGCTAGAGGTAAAGATGGGAGTTGGGTGAAAGCACTCATTGAACAAAATGGAAAGTGGTCATTTGGAAACAAAAAACGAAGGGTTTTTATATTGTTTTACTTTATAGTTGTCATTGTAGAAAATATCTCAAATGCCTTTTGTCTATATTACACATCAAGGTCTACAGGTTGGTTTTATCTAGCTGGCAATCAAAGAGCTTTATATTATAAATCCTTCCGATTCCTTCCAGATTTTAAGAACCAGATTTTCAGGGGACATAATATTCACATAAAGTAAAGAATATGATTTGAAAAATGAAATCAAGCAAAGAGCTATAAGTCTGCCTAGCCATACTCCTGGAAGGACTGCCATTAATGAGAATTAATTGCAGATGTCAACGAAATAAATTATAACTAAGCAAAACTTTGCCACAAACTTTAAAAATAAATTATTTTGGATTACTATATTTTTTTAAAAATGGAATACAGTCTTTAAGAAGAATGGCACATATCCAAGATATGTAAGTGATTTTTCAAACAGTTAAATGACAGACATGTATGTCGGTTATCAAAGGACCTATTGTCATTTAAATATATAAAACATGCAAATCTGAAAGAATAGATATCAAGCAAATAGTTGTTTGGGGGACAGACTGGGGGGCACATTCCTTGTGTGTAGTTTTGTAACTAATACCCCCAAATGTAGCATTAGTCAGCATTTTTAAAGGTGTTTTAGGTCAAGTAGAGTACAAAACAAAAGGAAATGAATTTAACACTTCAGTTAGGTGCAGCTGTTTGTTAGATTTTATTGGTTAATAGCAGCGCTCTGAAGCCAGGGAGCCTGGCTTTGAAACTCAGCTGTTACTTTCTACCTGTGTCATCTGTGTATATGACTCTTCTCTCCTTCCTCTGAAATGGGGGTGTTGCGATGCAACTTTGTGAACCCACAGGATGACACGATGATGTTGTTGATGATAATACCTCCTTAATAGAGCTATTATGAAATAGTTAACAATCTCTCAGAAGATTTAATATACTCACTAGCCAATGGAAGTTTTCTGATTATTTTGACTGATAATGGTAGGGGTGATAGTGACAATGACTAACCAGGTTTTCCTTTTAAGATTTCAGGCTATTAAACTAGAAATATTAATTACTACCCCATCTGATCTTCAACTGCTAGATTCACCTTCTTACATATTTATCATCTAGAATAATAACCAAAATCCAAAACTGTTGTTATTTTCATTTTGGCAGGTTGTGAAGACTTCATTAGCTTTGTCTTTGAATTTGGAAAGAGTTTATGTTCTATGCACCTGACTGAAGATGAAATTGCATTATTTTCTGCATTTGTACTGATGTCAGCAGGTAGGATGACCAAAAAAAAAAAATAGTTTCATAGTGTGTGTCCAGTTGAGGATTTTTTTTAAAGTACATTTTTTTAGTGGCTCTAGAATATTCTGAATGTTACCAAGAGAAGCTGTCACTCTTGTTAAATTTAAAATTTTCAAATGACCACCTCCCCCCCCGTGTTGTTATTCCAATAAAATCTTAAGAATGGAGAGAGACTATCACTTGAGTCCAAAGGTAACTTTTGATCCCACGAGAAAAAAGCTATAGTTGCTCTTCTTAATTCCAATGGCCAAGATAACATGGTTTTTCAGACATCCTACTTTCTCTTAAAATCCACATGGATGTCATCCCCAAGTTTATTTGATCCATGTTTTTGATTAATTAACTACCTTTAGGGGATCATCAAAGTTTGTAAAGTTACTATCTTCTATTTGTAATTGTTACACAGAAAACTTTATTCTAAATTACCAACCCTTTTTAAAAAAGAGAGTCTATGATAGTTTCACTAGCTTGGATTATAGGGTTATTTTTCAATTTTCCAGAAAGGCTGGTGGAATGGAATGAACATTTCCAGAAATGTCATTGTCTAAAAACTGAAGGGCTGTGATGGTTTCATTTGCATGCATACTGATATGGGCATCATCCTGGAAAGGGAAGACTCCTCCCTTCCTTTAAGTTTCTGTACAAGTGAAAATGTTTAACACTGTTTGTAACCATCCCAGATCAGTTTTTCACTCCTTAACGAGCAAACTTTGAATGAAGAATGCTAACCTGTTAGTCTATAAATATGAATTATATATTGTGATCTATATCTAAAAGTCAGGAGGAACGGGGGTGTTCTGAAACCATACAGGAAAAATGTTAAGGACTATCACATTTCATGTTTAGATCGCTCATGGCTGCAGGAGAAGGTAAAAATTGAAAAACTACAACAGAAAATTCAGCTAGCTCTTCAACATGTCCTACAGAAGAATCACCGCGAAGATGGAATACTAACAAAGGTGAGAGCCAAAGGTTTTAGATTGAACTGTCTGCTTGCCAGTCATTCCTGCAAGTCATTTATCAGTGCCCCCAAAGTATCTGTAAGCAATGGGCTACTAGTGAAAGAAAAAATACCTCCATTTCAAAAGATTCCAGTGGGCCAAGAATCAAGTCAAATTCTGTTTATTTGATTATTAAGTGCCCTGCAATAATAGGGCATTAGATTTTTTAAGCATTAATATACTCTGAAAATTCTGTCTTCCATCAAAATTGAGCATAAAACATAAATTCTGTTTGGTGTTGATATAAATTAGAAAAGGACAAAAAAAAAGACAAAGTCTTGCCTCTGGAAGGGAGAGAAAAATATGAGGAAAAAAATCTCTGAACTTAAAAGGAAAATGTTATGAAGTACTAAAACAATTAACCAGGATAACCATACATTCTAATAATAGTTCTGTTTCCATTAAAATCATTAATAATCAGCAGCAAGTGACTTTTGCATTTTCTTCATCGATTTCCCATTATTACCCTGTACTCAAAGCATAAGGTTTCATTTCTGCTAATTATTATCTTTCACAATAAAAGTACAATTAGGATGTCAACTTAAAATATGCTAATATCCTTCAGTATTAGTGCTAATAGTAATTATTAGTTCTTATAAATATCAACCATATTTTTTCCGAGATTATTTTATATGTCATTATTCCAGAAGATGATGTGAAAGGTTTGTTGTGTGTGTGTGTTGGTGGGGGGGAGGGAGGAATACCTGTTTTGTTTTTCCCTTTTCTGCTGATAGTTTAATAAGTCATAAAGAGAAAATGTGGGGCTACTTGCTAATTGGCTTTTGATTTTGCACCTGTTAAAAAAGACCTTGAGACAGGAATGGGAAATAGAAGGAAGAGCTCTCAGGCACTTTACTTTCTTCATTTTTCTTACCCATATGCCAGGCCACCATCAGGTTCTTTTATTATAGAGAGAATCTAAAATGCAGACAGCCTGTGATCTGATGACATCATCGCTTAGAGAGGATTTCCAATGGACCCACTTACTATATATAGTTCAACCTATGATTTTTTAAATTTTGTGATGGTGCAAAAAGTGGTTTGTATTCAGTAGAAGCTTCCCCACTCCTTTGAATTTTGACTTTTCCCCTTAGTGATATGTAGTCTTACACTTGCACAGTGCTGGGCGGGGCAGTGAGCCAGTTCCCAGGGAGCCACGTGGCCATAAATGGAGAGGACCTTTCAATGTGCTGTTGCCATGTATTTGCATATTATGTTTCGTATTTTCGTAGCCCCACCATCCCTATTCCCTCCTGTCTGTCCCTGTTGGCTGTATTAGATGCTTTTGTACAATTTTAGGTTAATATAAGTGTGTCCTGAGCATGTTTACAGTAGGCTTAGCCTAACCTCTGATGGAGGACAAGTCCTAGATGCATTTTTGGCTTTCAGCTAATGAGGATGGGCTTATCAATAGGGTCTTAAACCCCACGTCAAGGATTTAACTAAGTATTTTGCACTTTTATAATGTTTGAAAGTTTAAAAATCATGTTTGCCAATATGTTATTCCCAGTTGTACCAAATATATCATCAGAGTTTTCAGATTCATCCTCCACTGGTCAGTGCTGGGACCAGAGGCCATCCAGGCTTCTGACTAGTCTTTACTTTGTTTTTTACACTAGATTCTTTGTTTTGTTTTAGGCAAAGCTCTTTCTCGAGAAGAAACTTGTCACTGGAGTTAACTAGTAGTTGCTCTGCAGTGAGGGATGCCATCGTCCCTGTTGCAGGATGTCACCCACCCGTGATTGCCTCTTGCTGTCCTCTCTGTTGCCACAGTTCTTCCTTTGCTCACCACGTAGAGGGCAGGGCTTGGCAGGGTAAAGCAGGAAGCCAATTGGATGAGAGGAGGAGTGATTTAGGTTCTTGTTTTGACGCTGCCACTTTTGCTTTCAGACATCATTTTCGGTGATTAAGTTACTTGTCTTCAAAATCATATCTCCTCTGTACGTGGTAGTCTCTGGTGTGTCTGTGTCATCATTGACTTGTACCCACCCTCTCTGGCTGGACATTGAAGTTGCTTCTAGTGGGTTTCACCTTTATAAACAAACTGTAAAGATCATCCTGTTGCCCTGACTTTTGCCTCTTGTGTCTGTTCTCTCCTGACTTTGTGTCCTTTCTTCCACTTACAGTTAATATGCAAGGTGTCTACATTAAGAGCCTTATGTGGACGACATACAGAAAAGCTAATGGCATTTAAAGCAATATACCCAGACATTGTGCGACTTCATTTTCCTCCATTATACAAGGAGTTGTTCACTTCAGAATTTGAGCCAGCAATGCAAATTGATGGGTAAATGTATCACCTAAGCACTTCTAGAATGTCTGAAGTACAAACATGAAAAAGAACAACAAAAAAAAATTAACCGAGACACTTTAAATGGCCCTGCACAGACCTGGAGCGCCAACACACTGCACATCTTTTGGTGATGGGGTCAGGCAAAGGAGGGGGAAACAATGAAAACAAATAAAAGTTGAACTTGTTTTTCTCATGCATATGATTTCCATTATGCCTACAGATATGGACCCTTTTTCTGTCTCAACTTCTTGATCGTTGACCTCTGTTTACAGCAGAAGGAGGGTACTAAGGAGAATTTCCTTTTCTTGTAGCTCACTGCCCACAGACTTCCTACAGAGTCACCAACCTGGTGGTAACAACAGAGCCCAGCAATAATCGGTGACCGGTGTGCATAGCAGAGGTTGCGGCATTACTTTGCACAACTTGCTCTTTGTTTCATGAAGGAAGTTTTTATTTTTTCACCGATTATTGCCAGTCAGCAGGACGGCATGAAAAGGGTCCATAGCACTAGCAACAATAGCATTATAATATATTACAGGGTAAATGGGCATGAAGACTATATATAGCTAAAAGAGATATTGTTTATATATTGTTTTAATTAATATAAAATGTAGTTACTGGTGTAGCTTTTCCTGTTGAATTGATAAGGCACTTTCATTTTGCACCTTTTTCTTTAAATTAAATGCTAGCGTGTTCACTGTCGTGTCGCATGTGCACCAGAAACACAAGTTTAACTGAGAAGGCTTGGAAGGTACGTCGGGAGGTATTTATGCTGCTGTTTACAAAATTACTTTTAAAAGTCTGGCTGGTCATATCTAGAAATCACAATGTTGGATTTTTTTCTTTTTTTACATATGAATTTGGAATTAGACACAGAACTCTCCCTGAATTATACTTTTCTTTTGGGTACATTTAAGGATAGATGTGTTTATGCTTCATACAAAGTTGAATGGTCTATTGGTGCTGTGGACTTAAACCACGACGCACTTTTTTTTTTTAAGTTTTTCAAAATGCCTCCTCTTGGAGGCAGGGCCAGGGAGGCTCATTTGACATAATTTAGTAGGTTAATGGACTCAGTCGCAACTTGGAAATTCTTATGCTTTCAGGACAAATCTGCAACCAGGATATTTATTGGAATCTACTCTTATTTTTAGAAGGACCCAAAGATTATTTCTGGAGCAAACGCACACTCCCTGTGTGAGAACACATAACATTTACTGTGTGAATGTTTATATACTTGGTATAATCTAGGAACCCTAAGAGTTTATGTCAGAGTGAACTAGTTCTGTACTAGTTTTCTCTTCATCCTATAGTTGCTCTCCATAATTCATAGGCAATGGATAGGAGGGTGCGGGAAGCATATGACGTTGACTCAGTTTTTCTTATTTAAATGTTAAATATTTTAAGTCTCTAAAGTGAAGCTGATGCTAGTTGCAAACATTTACTCTTGTATTTATCTTCACTAGAAAACTGTGGATTGTAATTTATTTTATTAATATTTAGAAGAATATTTGGCTTTTGTATTCAGGTGAGAGATAGTTGTTTTTGTTTAATTTTGTGTTTAGTTTTGTTTTAAATAATTTGCAGTGGGGGAAGAGAAAAGGAAGAGTCGGAGGTACAGGTGTGCAAATTTAAAAAAGAAGTGACCTTTGGGGATGTGGGCATTTAGGTGATGAGTCTAGTCACACATGGGATGGTAGTCAAACTTCTTGCATGACTACAAATAGAGATAAAATCACATTTACCCGGAAAAGGGAACATCTTAGCATAGTATGAAAGTTAGGAGTTCCTAAGCAGTCCTTTGCAGAGAAGAAAGTGTTTTCTCTCCCACCAGATTCCCTCCTAAATCTTCCCCACAAATTGTGTCTCCTTTTTGTCCTGCCCAATCACGTTATCGCAAGGGAGGCCCAAAGCCCTACACTGTTTTTAACTCCACTGACCTTCTGACTTGTTTCCTGAGGTACTTGGAAAAGGAGAAGGAATTATTCACACAGAAGTGTGTATGAAGCCTAAATAACATCTAAGAATTTTTTTTCTCAAATATATAGTAAAGGTTTAACCATAAATAGAAGACGAGAGTAATATTTACTTAAATTTCTTACAAGAATATAAAACTTTATGTGTTTATTATATAGAAAGGTTAACTATCAGCATATAGTATTTATATTTGGGCAAGAAGGGATACATCAAAATTTTAATTTAAATAAGCATAGTTCCTTTAAGATCAATAGTATTTATATTCTGGAAAGAGTACAAAGCTTAGTTCAGTTATTTATTGTCCATTTTTTCCCCTATTGTTTCTCCTATAGGGGGAATGGTGTGTTTTTATTTTTGGTTTGGTTTTGTGGTTTTTGGGATTTTTTTTTTGTCATTCTGATTCACTAAATTTGGGATGGTTTTATTAAAGTATATTAACTTCTTTTTAACCAAAGCTTTCTGAATATGACCAGCCTCAGGTGCTAGAGCATTAAAGAGCAACTAAACCTAATTCCAGTGTCCATTTGTGAAATAAGAGCTAATTGAACTTCTCTGAGGGTGAGAGAGAATAAAATGTTGAACTTAAAAGAAATTCCTTTTCCCAGAAAGGATTTTGGATATATCTTATGCAAAAACAAAATCAAACAAACAAAAGCATGCTCTAATCTCGGTTATAGTCACAACGTGGTGACATTGCTTTTAGAGTAAACCAAGATACGTTGACTGATGCTGCTATGAGGTGTTTTCGAAAGAAAAGCAGGGTTAGACTTTAAGAGCAAAGTACATCGACAGTGTAGGAAAATAATAGTAGAGGTGTGCTCTATGAATTGATGGAATAGCCATTATTGGGATTGAAGTTGGGGTTCTGAAGTTAAACAATAAACCCAGTTGAAACCAATATGGAATCTAGAAAAAGATGTGAAAACCTTGCATTTTTATTTTCTTTCTTATTATAAAAATTCCTGTGTGCCAGAACAATTATTCTCAATAGTTCTCTAAAGTTTCCTAAACTTAAATGACCAATAATAGTCTTTTTAAGATTGGAATCACATCATGGTTATCCTGGCTGCTATAATGCCTTTTATATAAATGATTTTTTAAATAGGGTAAATAAGGCTTTTGTACAAAGGAATGCTTTCAGTTACAATGGTGTCCAAATGGTTGCATTATCTTGTGAAGAAACTGGCCTTGGTCACAATGAAAACAAAAGTGCAGATGGAAGTGGTTTTTGGGCAGTTTGCAAATTGTGTTAAAGCTATGGATTTTTTTTTAAGTGTTCAGCATCCGAATTTGAGTTAAAGCTATCGATTTTTTTTAAAGTCTTCAGCACCCTAAATCACCCTTCCTAACTTAAGGAAAACATGAATTAAGACACTGCTTCTAAGTTTGGTTGTTCTTTATAGTGGGAATGCCCAGATCTCTGTGAGCATAGGAGGGTGGGCTGAGGGTCAGGTGAAGAGGGAGCGTGCTGGTGTGTGTGTGTGTGTGTGTGTGTGGGTGGGTGGGTGGGTGTGTGTGTGAGAGAGAGAGAAAGAGTGTGTAAGAGAGAGAGAGAGACATGGAGAGGGAGAGATTTGTGTATGTGATGTGCGTGTGTTGAACCGCTTCTAGGCTACTAAGTGTCAATGGAAAAGAAAATGTATTCAAAATACTTAAATCAAAACTAGAAGATGGAAAAAAAAAGATTTATTCTATACAAAGCCTTGTCTGGACCACTTTAGAGAGACTTCTATTTTTTTAACCCTTCTATAAATATTTGATGGCACTTGAAATATTCCTGCAATAAAATGTGATTTGTGTAAAGAAAAAAAAAGATTTTGTAATGTGAAACAAAGAAAGAAAGTAATGTAATTTTCTAAAAAAAAAAATACAAACAAACAAACTTTGTATTATTTTCTTGATGGAATTTGTCTATCTGTCTTTGGAAAACTTTTTATTTCATTGATTGTGCCATAGTAGAAATATGTGTTTTTAGTTTTAGACTAAAGTATAGCTGTTTGTGTTCCGACATTCCAAAATGCAAAACAACCTAGTAGAATCTTTAATGAAAAGGTTTAAGTAGGATGTAAGCTTCTCTCATTGTTGCTTTTTTGCACATGTTCTTCATTCCTCTCTAGTGCAATATGTACATAGAGCACTTGCGGGTGTACCTTGATCCCTCAGGGAAAAATACATATTTGTACAGGTTTTTGTTTTGTTTGTTTGTTTTTTTTTCCTTTTGTTTTTGGCTAAGGAATGTCGATTGAATCACTTGTTATTGTTGAGGGGCAGCCAGATAATAATCCTAAAGCCACTGTTTCAAACATCGATTGTTTAAGTCATGTGTCCTTCCAGTGCTCTTATTTTAAGACAATAATAATAAAAATTATTTTCTGACAGTTCTTTGTGCTGATTGGTGAAAAAAAAGGGTAAATAAGCACCTTATGATTGACTTACTGTGAATGACAATCCATCTTGATATCAACAATAGAAGCCCTATCATTTTGGAGTTAGGGTTGAGTCAGAAACAATGCGCTCAGGGATCTTCTAAAACTCTCAAAACAGGGTGGCCAGTACTACTGGGACAAATTGTGTTTTTTATTAATAATAATGATAATAATACTATCCCTCCAAGGCACAAGTGAACTGTGTAGATCTGTGTGTGTGTGTCAACTCTCCGCTATCATCTCATTTTCTTGAGTTCAGAACTGCCATGTTCCTCAGTTGACAAGACTAGATTAACTTCCAGAGCAGTGCAGTTATACCAGTATGTTCAAGAGATAAATGAATAAGCAGTATAGTAAGGAGCGTCATTCAAAGCACAGGGTTACACATTCCCTTTACCACTTCTCTAATTAAATTATTTATGATAAACATATTTTTGCCATTATATTTCAAAACTATATCATAACATGTATTCTACATATTATAGGTAAAAGTGGTTTTTTTTGTTTTGTTCTTTTTGTTTTAAATAATGAGATGAGAGTCCTGCCCCACAGTTCAGGGAGAGAGGTCAGAGATGAAAAATAGCTTTTTAATGCCTGTAACAGCAATGTGACTCAGCTTCAAGGGTTGTTTTTACATTTTTGACATACAGTTTTATTCTCCTGTTTCCATATGTTATTTTCTGTAAAGTCAGTGAATCTCAGTATAATTATTGGCTTTCATTTTTCAACACCGAGAATACACATTCAAAAGAACTTTTATGTATTTTGTTATTGCCACAGACATCTATCATT